TGACTCTAGTAAAAAACTATCAAGCTACTTTTATGCACTATTACACAAGTAAAACTCGATCAAACTATTTTTACCCGCTAGTAAAACACTATCAACTACTTTTACACATTACTTTTACGCACTACTTTTATTACACTACTATTATCACACTACTATCACACTAGCTAAACAATTACTATAACACCACTTTTACACACTATCATGGTAATTTTTTTATTTTGAGTTCAACTTTTCGTTAAAAACATTGTTAGAATTATTTATTTAAATCGCCATACGTTGGCAGCTAAACTGAGCTATTCATTGCTCCTGGGTTTCAGCACTTATTGAAAAGTATATAGTTATTGTTTAAATTAAGTTGGAACTTCCAACTTTTTGAACATTGAAAGAAATTATTTATTTAAGAAAAATTGCTATTATCTTAATTATTTATCATATTCTTTCAAAAGTGTTTACTTATTCTTTCTTTAACTTAGCTGTTCTGTTGCAACCATCTTTAATATATTTATAATCTTTGTCAAAAATAAAAATAAAAAAGTAAACACACCCAAGATCCCTAATTGAAATTTAAACATAGAAAAATAAAAAATGCTATCGAAATATAAAGAATCACTATTGAGGAAAGCGATCCTTTAAATATCAGAACCTCTTTGATTACCGGAGAAAAGAGAGAATTTTCAAAAACGATTATTAGAAGCACCAAGATTCCTCAGAAAACAAAGTTGCTCTTATTATTTTTTAATTCCATCTTCCTCACAACCAATTCGAGTAAAAATATTAGGGGGACCGGAAAGTAATGTCGTTTCGGCGCATTTGATATTTGTTACAAAGATTTTATTTTTAATCAATAATGTATTCACCCTCGCTACCTTTCAATGCCGGATAAAAAAAAAATAATCGAAACGGCTTGGGAAAAAAAATGAATTGGTTTATAAGACTAACGAATATTTAATGCCGCTGAAACGACATTACTTTCCGGTCCCACTAATATATGTCACAGGCTATGATTACCGTATGCATATCTTTTACGGTATGCACCCTGTATGCATTCCGTAAACAAAAATTAATAACTTACTATAATAAATTTACTAACATACTATAATTATCATGCCCTTATAAGCATTGTATAGTTCCTAGCTCTTTAATTTCATTTAATTCTTAAAAACATATTTAATTATCAATCCCTTTCTTAATAATTATTAACGATAACATATTTTTCCCTGACTCACAAAACTGGATGTCAAATTCATTTTCTTGAGTTACTTACATGATGACATAAAAATTTACTGTTATATGTTGTCTATTATTTTTTAATGTTTTTTGGAGTTTCCTTCTTTTACCAAATTATTTTTAAAGCGAGAGAAAAGATTGGATTGGTCCGACTTTTAATAAATAAAGTAAAGCTAGTAAAGTATTAGTAAAGCTTATTTGTCATATATCTCCAATTATGAATCGCTTTTTCCATAAATCCACTACTTTCACAAATTTATTTCTGAATTAATTTTCGATCTAGCAGGTCATGGGAGTTTTTAACCCCTGTAGCTTATTTTCTATTTATTATATTGGAGATAGTATATTAATTTTTCATGTGTCTCCAATTATGAATCGCTTTTTCCATAAATCGACTACTTTCGCAAATTTATTTCTGAATTAATTTTTGATCTAACAGGTCATGGGAGTTCTTAACTCCAGTAGCTTATTTTTTTTATTTATTATAGTGTGTAAAATTAGAATTTATGCTGGAACAATTTTCTAACATTATGGTAAATCATGATACAACTGAAGAAACTCTTTAGATATCTGAAGATCTAGAGGGGGGGGGAGAGAATGATTTATTTTTATTTTTCGCAAAAATGATGATTGAATCACCATTTAATACATTTTGAGGATTACAAAGGCTTGATAAATCAATAGCATGGAAAACTGGTTCTTTTCGAGAGTTATTACATAGTGAAGACTGGTCATGTTGTGAAACAATAGTTCCTGTCCTAGTTGAAATTAATTTTTTTTCTCAGAATTAGATTTTCATGGACATTAACCGTTCTTCCTCCTTGTTAATTGTATTTATATTCCCCCCTCTAATATTGAAGTGAGATCTTCCTCTTTTTAACTGGATATGCAGATAATAAAGTACAAAGAAATTTGTAAGCTACTGTTTGTATCTCACTAAAGTATTGAATCTACAACTACATCACTTCAAACTTTTATTTCAAAATCTAAACTAATAAACTCAGTTAATTAAATTTAATATGAACCATTGATATTCTTTAAATCATGGAAACAGCAGAGAAAAATAAATTAACAAATGATAAAATTAAAAAATTTTTAGACAACAAGGAATTATGATAAGTCAGTCATTATTGCAAAAAAAGGTCACTTTTTTAACAACTGTAGCTTCAAAATTTGTATTACTTTATTTTCAGACAGAAAATTAAGTAAATAAAAAAAAATTCCACGAGATGCGAAACCAAGTGAACGAGTCGCTTAAATATTCGAATCGAATGGAACGATAACTTATTTAAGCGAAGACGAGATCAATTTCACTAATGCGAACTTAGAGCAAAAGGGTGTGACAAACTTCTCCCCCCAGAAAAATTCACTTTGTCACTCGCACAGGAACAACATATTCTATTAAAATCTCATTGGACAACTAGAAAAGCAACTGCTCTAATTGGCTGTGGCATGTGTTCGCTTGAAATCTGATTATATTTATCGCTAAATTAAATGAGAAAGTCAAAATCCAGAGAAGTCTTTCTAAAACAATACCATCAACTCTCTTCGCGACTTTGGAAGATTTGTCTTTCTAAGCGAATGAGGAAATGGAGTGCCAAAAATGGAGTTGGAATTCCATAAATCATTCATGAAAATGGCGATAATACTGAAGATTTAAAAAAGTGGCTATTTACCATTCTTTTTCTTCATAAAAAAGCATCAATTGTAAACACATTATATACATGCAAATTAAAAAAATTAAATAAAAAAGTTTGACAGCATTGAACGCGTACGGATGTTCAACAGGACATATAATATAGTGCCCGTCACACACAGAGACAAAAACTTCATTTTATGCTAAAAAGTAAGAGTTTTCAATTAGTTGCTTTTTTATTTATTTGTTTGCTTTTTAAGTTTAATTACAAAGTTAAGTTTATTAATATATTTATTTTTTGCTTTATTTTTATTCAATTCTTATTTTTATTGAAAGTAATTGAAAGAATTCGCTTGTCTTAATTCATCGAAAAGAGTTATCTATTTCTAGAGTTTGATTTTAAAGATTTATAATAGAACCAAAAAGCTTATTAAATATGATTTGCACCTTAACTTTGTTAACAATAGTGCTGAAAAACTATAATAAATCAAAAAATAAATTGATTTTTTGATTTTGAGAGTCTTTATTTCTCACATCCTGTTAAGAAAATAAACGAACTTTTTTATCGCTCTTAAATATTCTGATTTAAATAATTCACAAAAAAAGTTGGAAGTTCCAACTTAATTTAAACAATAACTATGTACTTTTCAATAAGTGCTGGAAGCCAGGAACAATGAATAGCTCAAGTTAGCTGCCATCGTGTGGCGATTTAAAATTTCAATTCGCAGCACGTGGCATAAACAATGAAACTAAATTTATAATATAATACCTTTATCATTTTGTGAAGACATTCGAAATAATCTATAAGGCTATAATCAAGACACCAATGCAAACACATATAACACTACGCGTCTGTGACCCAAACAACAAAAGCTTACTTTTATTTATTTATTTATTCACATACATGTGTGTTCAGTATGTATCTTTGTGCTGCTCTTTAATTTGTGCTATCTGTTCCTTAGCATGACAAGAGCTTATAAGCCGTTCTTTGTAATGAGCACACAAGCCTGCACGTGTACGTGTAAGAATGGATAAAAATAGTGTATTCAATAGAAAAAAATGATTAATAAATTCTTGTACCTAGAAGAGATAACACAAATTAAAGAAGGATAGCTCAAAAATACACTCAGAGTTGTGGAGAGAATCGAACCCGTTACCTCCAAGCTTCAGGGTTCTTGGAATTACAGTTAGACTGCTTGCTTTTATCGCTTGACATTGAGACCGTTGAAGTTTAGATCCAAATCTTTTTTTAAAATGTGAAGGGTATGATTAGTAATTAGAAAATAGATCGTATAAAAATTCAAAATTTCTGAGATGTATAGAGCATTGTTACTAATTATAGCTAGTTGTAGGCATCAGCACTAAAATTAAAAGGACTGAGTACAAGTACGAAAAAAGAACATTGGTGCATGTTTAAGTTGAAGTTCATTTACGTCGCACTAGAGCTGCACAATGGGCTATTGGCGACGGTCCGGGAAACATCCCCGAGGACGATCCGAAGACATGCCATCTCAATTTTGATCCTCTGCAGAGGGGATGGCACCCCGCTTCGGTAGCCCGACGACTTGCACGCGAAGTCGATCACTACGGAAGATCAGTTTAACGAGGACCAATACCGCACACTGATCCAAGTGGTCACCCACCCGCAGCCACTGATGCTTGATTTTGGTGATCTGCTGTTTAAAAACCGCGCATGTTTAAAAACCACAGAGTATCATAAGTACAAGTCTAAAGATTGTAAAATCAAATATTAAATAGTGCTGCGTCAGTGGAAAATCGAATGCAGTTAATGGGTGTATATGAGAAAAGAAAATCTTCAGAACACGACCACTACTATATTCACTAGAATAACTCGTATTTTTTTATAGTGGACGGATATAAATATATATAAGATGAACGAAGAAAAAGACAACCAGAAGATGATGTCAACCAAAAAGAAAAAAAATATATGAAAATTATTTTGGGAAAACTCGATCCTACCATGTGATTTTCCGGCCAATAAAAATGAGCCGACTAATAATGGTAAAATAAATTTAAAAAATGCAGTATCAAATTTGTAGTCATGGTTACTTTCTAGGTTTACCTCAGCATGGATACTTTTGATAGATGCGCAAAAATAAAACGTCATAAAATGATTATGTACATTTGTTTTGATAAGTTCTTCTTTATGATATAGAGTTTTAGCTTATTAAACAGAATATAAACCATTATGGATGCAGATGAGATCGAAATACATATGTATGCTCCTTTCTTCGGTGCTATGGGAGCATTTGCTGCTATAACTTTCTCTTCAATGGGAGCAAATTTTGGAACTTGGAAAGCAGGCAGTACCATTGGTACTGCCGGAGTAGTAAAACCTGATATAGTTATAAAATCACTTCTGCCTGTAGTCATGGCTGGCATTATCGCAATTTATGGTCTTGTCGCTGCGGTTTTAATATCAAATAATATTGCTTCTTCAGCTGAAGGATACACTCTTTACAAAGGATATGTACATTTTGGAGCCGGAATCGCTGTTGGCATGACAGGACTAGCTGCCGGAATTGCAATTGGGATAGCTGGCGATGCTGGAGTACGAGGAATAACCGAAGAGCCTAAGCTGTACGTCGGAATGGTTCTAATTCTCATATTTTCTGAAGTGCTTGGGTTGTATGGTCTGATTGTAGGCCTATTGTTGACCACAAAAGTTTAAGTATTAAAAAAAGTTTTTTTTTCTATCAAGAAGTTGATCCTTACGTACACATAATTTATCAATTGAATTTGAATGCGTGAGAGCAGAGTTGGCAAAATTGGAAACCAGAATGTTCTGGATTGGAAACCAAAAATCTGTTAGTTCGGTTCCAGACAAATGTCTAAGCGTAAAAATAGTCACAAAGTTCTTTGAGTATTAGAAAGAATCATAGTTACAATTAATTTTAGGTAATTACTTTAACCCTGATGGTAACATTTAACGCATTTTTTAGCTTTTAAAAAATCGGTGTCGTTCATGAAAAACTGTGCACTTAAACATTAAAATGGACTACACATTATAAGATTTGAGTTATGGCGTATTGCTTGATGTGACGAGGCTTTGCGGTTTCTTTCACAATTTATCTGGTGCCAAACGAAGAGATGATTATCATCAAAATATTCATCATATTAGTGAATTCATCAAACAGACATTATAACTCAATTTACATATTTTTAAATAAAATTTGGATTTTATTGTACTATTTATAGTAAATATTTCTTATTTATTGTCCTATAAGGAGCTTATCTGTGATTAAAAGGGATTCAATGTTAAGACAATTCTTCCAAGGTTCTGTTTTTTTTAAACAACAATTCCAGAGTGAATTGATGTAATACAAAGTTCCCAGAAGTTCACCGAAGTCAACTCGTACTTGTAGCGGTCAGTCAGCTAGCTGGTGGATAACAACTTTGATCAGGAGTCGATTTCGAAGGGACCGAGGATGCGTGGTACGGGAAATCATTAAACTATTTTAATATAAAATATTAGAGTTCGCACCTCACCTAAGTCGTCTAAGTTATTCCCTCTGTAAAGGAAAAAAAATTATAATGGCATGAATTCGGTTAGGGATGTTTACCTGACCGTGGCCAATAACGCCTTTTGGAGCTCCAGTGAGACGTAAACAAAATACTATAACTCCTATAAAAGAACACTTTTTAGCGAATAATATGCTTTTTTTTAATAATGGCTGTTGGTTGGTAATAATCATTCGCTATTGTTGGATTAAGTTTAATCTGCATTTAAAGAACCTAATTTAAACTAAGTGTGGAAATGGCGCAGATTATTAAGCCACAGTTTTACAGGAAAGCAAAGTATTTGAAATCTAAATTTTTAATATTTGAATAGTTACACAAACGCTGCATTGTTTGCGTCCACAAAAATATACAAAAAATTGAGAGTTACTCATTGATTTTTATATAGATAAAAGATCTCGCAAAATCGACGGTAGTTTTTTATAAACCCTATTATTTAATTTTTTTAAAAAAATATTTAAATTATTTGTCTATTTTAAAATCCAGTCATTCTTTTCAGCAAGATAAAACACTTAAATTTAAAATTTTGCTTTGAGATTTAATGCACTTAAGCTGCAGCTTTATTTTATTTTCTTTGGCGAAAGAACGGTAGAACAGTTTAACGAGGACTAATGCCGTACACCATCGGTCCCTACGCAGACTAATCCAAGTAGTCACCCACCCACACACTGACCGCAGTCAGTGATGCTTGACTTCGGTGATCTGCTGGGAACCGTGTTTTAACGATCAGTCCACTGCGGGACGAAAAAATTTTGAACACCCTTAATGACAACATTGCTTAAAAACTTCAGCTGGCAGAAGAGTTCTGTGAACAACGAGGCGAGCATGGTAAAAGAAGCAACTAATTTCATTTTTAAGGATTGTGACCTATCAAATAGTTTTCTAATAACAGAAGTTACCATTTTTTGGTTAGACTATATTTTGAGATGTCACTTGGATTAGAGGGTTGCCACTCATATCTGCAAAATTAAATCCCCGTGTTTTCACTGTACAAATTATACACAATATATTAAGTTGAAACGCACAATCACTGTGCACTTATGTGAGCCATAGTAAGATAACTATACTAGTTTTAATTGCTGGAGAAGTTTAGAGATATCATGTACAGATTCAAATAATTATTTCGACAGTAAATGAAGTTAATTAGAATAGTTGAACTATCATCTTCAAATATTCTATAGATTATACTTTGAGAGGTCGGAAATATTCAAATTTCTCTGTTATAGAGGATTTCTAAATTTCGTGTATGTTCCAAGTTTTCCCTATTCCTCCAGTGGAGATAACAACCCTGGATTAGCAACAAGTTGGTCAACAGCTAGAAAAGCGATTTTTTTTATTTATGGAAACCCGCAAAGAAACCTTTAATTATGTTCTCGGTGTCATTTTATTTAGCAAAGCAGGTACAATTTGCTTAAAAGAAATTGCTAGTTTTCGACAAGGGGCCACTCTAAACATTTTTTGCATTTTTTTTTTGTAATGACCTGCATTTGAAAAAATAAACGTCTTTCTCTTTTTCTTACATGGAATATTATTACATCACAGTTGTATTCACAAGTAATGCAGAAATGCGAAGCAAAAATAAAATGCAAGCAAAGACTTTATTAAAAATATGTTTTGAAATGTTCTCTTCTTATAAAAACATTTACAGCTTAAAATTTGCTTCGAATCAGGGATTAAGAAGGAAAATTGTTCTGTAAAATAATAGCAAAAGCTGGCATGCGTATTCATTTCAATCTACATCAGTCAATTATTATAGTTTCCTCAGTAATGACAACCTCTTCCGACTCTTGATCATAAAACTAGCAAAAGAAAATGAAGATTAATTACAGTTTCAAAATGTCTACTTATTAAATTATTCGGATAAAATTAATTATTTATTTTTATCAAGCAAACACAATTACAATATTTCAAACATTTTTGAGGAATAATAAGCCTTCTCGTTTTGGAAAAGAGACAGGAAAAGTTCACATGATATACTTCTTTTTAAACTAAGATAAGATAATTATGATGTAATTATAACAATAATTATGATTTAATCAAAGAATTAAACTAATTAACAAACTCAGAAAAAGACAAAATAAGTTAGTAACATTACAATAATAAATCAAAATAGAAAAGCGCTAGCATTTATCAGCTAAAACAATAAATCCAAGGAAATCTCAATTTGAGATAAATTTCTCAAATTTTTGGTGCTTAAAATTATTTTAAATTGTATCGCATCAGTGCACACTCATTCAGTATTCAATTCTTCATTGTAATTATTCTTTCTGGCTTTTATCTTTAATTAATTGCAATACTAGGAAATTGTCATTTATAGAAAATAATAAAAAAATTTTTTAAATAATTTCATTTTTATTAAGTTTGTTATCATTTTTTACTTTGAAAGCACTGTTTTACTCAGAAAATTTTGCGTACAGGGATTTATCATTAGATTTGATAGATGCTGACTTACACGTTTGTCTCTTTGCTTGAAAAATGTAAGTAGAAGTTTTCCTGAATCTGCATAGTTCTTAAGAGTCCTAAATAAATATAGATATGCTTTAAAACTAACATGAATAAATTGCCTAAATATTAAAACTGTCAAATGACATATGCTAATTCAAAATTATGTTTTCTTAATAATAAATATGAACCTTAAATCATTAATAAATTAAACTCTTTATTTTATCTTAAATATATCCCAAGTAGAATTAAGGAAGAAACTTTTTTTAAAATCATTATTGAAAAGTAGTTTAAGAGTTTATTTCTTGCATTTTTAAGATTATGCATTTTAAAATTTTCCTATCCATCGTAGTTTAGAATATATACGTCTAAACATCAATGCCTAAACATTAATTTTAGGGCCGTGGTAGATCAGTGGTAAGAGAATCGGACTACCATCTGGAGGAGCCGGTGTTCGATCCTCGACTCTGCTAAGACAAACTGAGTACATGCGATATACGTACTGGTCCAATCTGTGGAATCGAATGTCTGTCGTTCAGCAGTACCATGAATACAGGGATCTGGAGAAAATTTCCTTCCCCTTCAGATCTATGTCAAAGTTGTGGAAGTGGCGTCTCGTATAAGTGGTGGTGCCATCTAAGGTGGTGCCATCTTTTGAGCCAAGACGTACTTTAGCACTTACGGTGCTCTCTTACCGAACGAAAGGCGCACCTTACTGACTTGTCCAAGCCAAACAAGCCAAGAACTCAAAGATAAACTATATCCAAACAATTAGTTGCTAAATTGCAATAGGTAATATAATGTTGAAAATCAGGTTATGGTAATTGTAATTATACGAAATCATATAATTACAATTACTTGGCGATTTTTCATTTCTGAAAGCTTTAGGAAAAAAAGCAAAGAGTTTCAACTAATGCTAAATTTACATGCATTTTGTGTGTATCTAGTAGTAGGGGGAAAATCAGCCCCCCGCTTTTAGGGTAGATTAACTCTCTTACTAGAGTGCTATGGTAAGCGCTTCACCCCACTTCGGATAGATGACTTCTCATCTATAGGATGAGCGAAGCATCCCACTTCCTCAGCATGGATAAGAGTTCAACCCCACTTATAAGTTCTTAGTAGGGGTGTCATAGCATGGGTCTTTACGAAGCATGGTTTAGAGTAAGCTAAAGTTTCTTAAAAACTTTGGGTACTTATTTCTTCACAACTATGGGTACATTTGAAAAATTTAATGTTATATATATATTATATCTAAAACAAGTTCCAAATGAATTGCTCATTGCAAATAATTACAAACAATTGGCAAAGTGTCCTTCATTATGCTAACCACTCATATGCTCTTAACGTTACATGGTATGTTTAGACTAAACGAATACTTCTTAAAAGGTTTTTAGCATTTACTTCTTCACATATATGAATATTTTTGAAAAATTTGATGCTTGCTTTGTATGCGTTCTACTTGTACTTTTTATCTGAGCTTCAGATACAGTTAACTAGTGTAATTTTGAGAGTGCACGAGTGTGCGAGAATGTTGAGAGAAATGGCATCTAGCTATTATTACCTTTTAACTTTGCAGTTTGATACTTGGTATAACTTATAAGTATCGCAACTTTGGTCGATTCGCCTAAATTCGCTTTTTAGTGCTTTCTATTTTGTTTCTTTCTACTTGCAGTTTTTGTCTTTGCGTCAGATATAATTACCTCCATCAGATACTATTCAATTGTGGGTAGCTTTTAGTATTAAATGAATCATTGTTTAAAATAAACTGATTAATAACATTTTTTAAGTATATTATTTTCAAATTCGGCAGAGAATAATGAAAAAATTAAAATACATATAACATTCTATTTTAGCCACATAATATCTCTGATAAAAATAACGAGTTATATTCCATTACTTACTGGTCTATATATATTGAATCATAGCTGATTGGCTTAGAACAGACTGGGCATTTCCACTTCAAAAAATACTGCATTTCTTCCAAAAATGGGAAAAGATCGAAAACATCTGGATGTGTACAACTGTTGCTTCGGCAAGGAAAAGAAATCGTCTTTTTTGTTTTCTAAAATATAATTAAAATATTTTGGGATGTTAACATATAGCTGTAAGCGATGCCATCATAATTATTCATCAGGTTGATTTTTTTTTTAAAAAAATTGCACTCTAAAGTATATATGATAGATTGTATACTTTTGTACTATTGGGTTGGTCGGAAAATAACTACTTTTTTTTTTACCTTCGCGATAGTAAAAAAGTAAAATATGCCGAAAATACAGCTCTTCACTTTCCATATTTGAAAAGACACCGATCCACAACTACTGAGTAGAAACAAACGAACTTTTTCACAAGCAAGCCTAGATATAACAGCTGTCAAAATATATAATGATTATGCGGCTTAAGTGTGAATTTGGTTGTGAAAAAACACAATTAAGTCATTTGTTGGGAAGAAAAAATCACTTTCTGTGCAACTCAATATATATTTAGAAAAAGTGGAAGAAAAATATTGCTGAAAAAATATATTTAAAGTCATAAGCAATTTTCGAATTAGTTGCAAGTTAATGTCGGTAATGTAAAAATAAATAAATAAAATAATAAAACTTTTTACTGTAATCTGTGTCTTCAATCTTTAAGCGATGGTAAAAAAATATCTAATATTTGTACGAAATGGCATTATGGTAGAATGTAATACCAAATGTCTTAAAAGTAACAGACGATTTTGAAAAATTAATTAAAGAAAAGTAAGACGAGATAATATATATATATATATATATATATATACAGTGGTGGCCAAAAGTGTGGACACTTTTTGAAAGTTTCATGTTTTTCAAATTTGTGTGCTTGTAGAATATATTAATTTTCACTTAAATACAAACGTTTATATATCAAATTGAAGGTAATTTAATGTAAAATGTAATAATAAATGCAGTATTACAATATCTGTATTGCGAAAAAAGTTACGCAATTAATAGTTAGATCTATCTCAGATTTGTATTTTTTTAAAGTGATACTTACACAATCAATACTTAGTAGGATAACCCTTATTTTTTAAGACAGCTTCACAGCGTCTTTTCATCGAGTGAACGAGTGTCTGGAGTTCATCTTTCGTTATCACATGGTGAAAAGAATCAATTATAGCTTCACTTAGTTGTCTTTTATTGGATGAACGTTTTTTTCGTACAAGAATTTTCTAACGTCGCCACAAATTTTCAATTGGATTGAGATCAGGGCTGTTTCCTGGCCATGGTAATATATCTATGCCTTTATTTTGAAAGCATGCTTTGCATACTTTTGCTGTGTGGCATGGAGCTGAATCCTGCTGAAAAATAAATGGTGCGTTGTTGGGGAAGAGATCCCTGATGGAAGGTATCAATTTTGGTTTCAGGACAGTTTCGATGTATTTTTTGGCATTCAGGATGCCAAATCAGGCCGAAAAAATGTACAAGTGCTATTAACGAAAGAAAAATTAAATGGCTATGCCATCATGATAGAAAAATGTCATCAGATGCCATTAGATGTGAAATGAATGCAGCTGGTATTGCAGTAAGTTCAAAAACAATAAGAAGAAGGTTATCAGGATTTGGACTACAAGCTAGAATTCCAAGGAAAAACCCATATTAAATCAAAAGCAACGCGAAAAACGAGTTAAGTCGGCAAAAGAACACATTAAATGGTCAGAAAATCAATGGAAGCAAGTAATCTGGAGTGATGAGAGTAAAATATTGCTCTTTGGAAGTGATGGTAGAAAATACGTGAGACGTAGCGTAGGCGAAGCGCTTCATCCTGATTTCATTGAAGCAACTACAAAAAATCCAACAAATGTCATGATTTCGGCATGTATCTCTGCAGATGGTGTGGGCCGAATTCAAGTGATTGATGGCATCCTGAATGCCAAATAATATATCAAAACTGCCCTGAAACCAAAATTGAAACCTGAAACAAAACTTCAATCAGGGATCTCTTCTCCAACAACGCACCATTTATTTTTCAGCAGGATTCAGCTCCATGCCACACAGCAAGAGTATGCAAAGCATGCTTTCAAAATAAAGGCATAGATATATTACCATGGCCAGGAAACAGCCCTGATCTCAATCCAATTGAAAATTTGCGGCGATGATTGAAAATTCTTGTACGAAAAAAACGTCCATCCAATAAAAGACAACTTATTGAAGCTATAATTGATTCTTGGCACCACGTGATTACGAAAGATGAACTCCAAACACTCGTTCACTCGATGAAAAGACGCTGTGAAGCTGTCTTAAAAAATAAGGGTTATCCTACTAAGTATTGATTGTGTAAGTATCACCTCAAAAAAAAAATGCAAATCTAAGATAGATCTGACTATTTGTTGCATAACCTTTTTTGTAATACTGATATTGTAATACTGTATTTATTATTAAATTCTACATTAAATTACCTTCAATTTGATATATAAACGTTTGTATTTAAGTGAAAATTAATATAATCTAAAAGCACACAAAGTTGAAAAACATGAAACTTTCAAAAAGTGTCCACACTTTTGGCCACCACTGTATACATATATATCTGTGTTACCACGAAGATTGAAGCCCGGCATTCTATATGTTTAAAACTAGCCGACAAATTATGCAACAATTCATATTTAACACATTTCCTAGGCATTCCATAAAATGCCAAATAAAAATAATAGAANTAGTACCTGGGTGAGAAACCATGAAAACCTGGGCAAGCCCATTGCTATAGATGGAGGGTGGTCATACTGTAATGGCTCTTTGGTGTTTATATATATATATACAACAAAATAAATAAATACAAGAAAACACGAAGAAAGTTAAGAAAAACAATAAGTTCCGTTTATTGCGAAGCTGCAAATAAACAGAACTCATTAGATAAGTTCAAAATGAAGATAAAACAAAGGAAAATTATAGACATATGACGGGGAAAAAAGGGGGGGGGGGAATAATAATGAAAAAAAAATAACAAACAACTGATTAAAAAAAAAATCATACTTTTTTTCTTTTTTTTTAAATCAGTTGTTTGTTATTTTTTTTTTTTTTTCATTATTATTTCTCCTCCCCCCCCCTCCCTTTTTTTTCCATATGTCTATTATTTTCCTTTGTTTTATCTTCATTTTGAACTTATATATATATATATACTATATATGTTCGCTGCTATCTGTGATGGTAATCTTGTGGAATGCTTGGAACGTATATGCTACAAAAATGTTTTTTTTCTCTATAGCATATACCTTTGTATGCTACGTAAGTATAATGACATTTTGTAGCTATTTGAATATCTTGTAGCCAGCCATCATATTTCTAGTGAGAATGAATTCCTGGTTTCCTATACACAACACAGCAAACATTTGTATCTCCTTCCGCTTTTTCATAGGTTTTCCAAATCATCTATCATTTTGTAGACACTTGGTAGAGAATATTTGTATAAAAAGTTATGATAACAAAGTAATTTTTTTTCAGACCATCGGATAGTTTTAACAAGTAAAAAATTCCTTCTCAAGATCATTCATTCAAGGTCTTCAAGATTTACTTTTTATTGCAAGCACAAATAAAACAAAATAGTTTTCTCTTCATATATTTCCAAAAAATAAATCAAAAACTTAAGAAATATATTACGGTTTTAAAAATACAAAATACTGGCGTTAGTAAATAGAATAGTAAATCTAGTAAATGAAAATAGAATATAAAAATAGTAAATAATAGTGTAGAATAATAATTTTTTTTAAATAAATTGTTAAACTTACATGACAAATTAAAAGTAACTTATAACTGTGCTTAATGGACTTGTTGTGAATGCAATTTGAAACTGTAAAAATGTAAAACAATATTATTTAAAAAAAAACATAAAAGCATTTTATTCATTAGTTTCTTATATTTTAGTATTTAAGGTATTTTGATGCAAAACTATACTGAATTTTTGAAAGAAAGAAGAAAAAAAATATTACAGTACGTAAAAAAAAAAAAANAAAAAAAAAAAAAAAAAAAAAAAAAAAAAAAAAAAAAAAAAAAAAAAAACGGATTACCCTAAACAACTTTTGACCTAATGATCTCAAATATGCTAATTAATAAATGCAGAAGATACTTTTTAAGTTACGAAATACGACACAAAAACTTACTTTCTTTCTCTGAACGTACAGTATATATTTTGAACGCTTATTCAGAGAAACGTACTTTCTCTGAATAAACATATCTTTTTTTTTGACAAATATGGTCGCAATAGTTTGATCAGGAGAGGGCTCCAAAATTTGGACCCTTTAATGTTAATTTAACTTTTCGTGTATTTCTCTATGTCTCAAGAACTTTAAGAGCAAATTGAAAAGTTTTTGCACACAACTATATAATCTATTTATTCAAAGATGATTCCAAGATGATGAGAGTTATTTTGAGATAAGAAAAACAGTTACTCATCTTGAAAAGTTCTTTAATTTACAAAATCAGTTATTGATCAATTTTTTAATAAAAAGGAAGAATAATTTTTTCAAACTTTTTTTTTTGCATTTTATATTTTAGTACAAATAAATTCCGATAATCTAATAAATTTTTTTAAAAAAAACTAATAGACTGTTTTTAATACTTAAAAACCCCGAAATATCTTTTTGCTTGTAATTAGAACGTCAGAAAAAAGTTCAAAATATGATTCACTAATTAAAGCTTTATTCGTTTTGAATTACAGTCAATAAAATATTAAGTATTTAATTTACGAGTAGTTCAGTCAGTTAAATTCTTTTAGAATAAAATAATAATAAATAAATACAATTATTATAATTAGAAAATAATGAACATGATTTTGTTTAATATTTTAGTAACAAAAAAAAACTAATCGTTCGTATTTACCTAAATCACGCACACTCTTATCACCTCCAATTTTAGTAGGGAATATACTCACAAAGTCTAGAGGCGTAAGTCTTCTGACAATTGATACATCAAAATAATATCCCTAAGTTGGAAAAACAAAAATTATAATCATAACATTACAGATGATTCATAAATTAAAACAGAAAAATCATAATATTGTTCTCTTACTTAAAAGGGTATGAGAAAAACTTTCAGGAAAAAATAACATTGCTGTTTTTATACTCTTATATATTGAATAGTACGGCGTGCAAAATAGAAAAGCGAATTGCTAAATAACTGATTTAGCACCATATGAGGCGTATCTGTTTGAAGCGATAAATAAAAAATTGTCCCATTTCAGAATAAAAATTTGTTTGGTCCAGTTTTAGGAAGTCTAGAGTACCATAATTGCATTGAAGCACACATTTTTTTTTTGCTACTAAGTTGACGATTATAAAAATAATAATTTTCTTAATTGAAGAAATCAATTTTTTTACATCGCAAATTATACTTTAGCAAGATTATTTGGTTATAGTAAATTATGGCTATTATTATAACAATAACCAATCAGGTAATACTAAGTAAAACATTAGTGTAGAGAATATCTGACAGTGAAACGTAACCTTAAAACACATCAATATAGGAAATGGTACTTAACCTTAGCAAAGAATCAGTGCAACCTGGCAGAGTGTACTGGACAAATATATACCAAGAAAAGGTAGTTAACCTTAAAACATCACGTGTAGGAAATACCGGGCAATGACTTACATATCTTGTCATTTTATTGTCAGCAATGTGCTCGGTAAGAGCCGGGTTTGGAATTCGTATTGACCAGCATCACTGGGATTCGAACCCAGGTCAACTCATTGGGAGGCGAGTGCTCTGTTCCCTGAGACACCCCTGCTTCAGACGACTATTCTGTTTAAAAAGAGTTCAGTGTAGCTCTAATGCGATGTTAACAAGCAAAATCAAATCAAAACAATATCTGAACGATTTGACCGAAGCCTTTCAAAACATTTCAATTTGAAGCATCAAATTGTTCTCTTAAATTTTTGAGACTGAAAATTCAGTTTTCATAGGAAAACGAATACAATACTGATGCACATTAACTCTGTGACTCACTGAATGTTTGGATTTACTATGTCTTCGTAAACTTAAGCTTTTTCTTTCTTTTCTTTGGTAATCTAAACATAAGGGAGTAGGATGGTATGGAATGCCTTTTTTTCCTATTATTATTTCTTGTTCAGTTAACAAGACTCGCCGGTGAGCTTTTGGTAGTAGACTAATAAGTACTAGTAACGTCTAGACTATACTAAATGTTCGGAATTACCAGTAAGGCTCCTTTCAACCTTTAATAAAAATGTAGTGGTTCATGCAAGTCAATCTTTTAAATTAGATTCTAATTCAATTTTGATACCAATTCTAGTTCTGAATTGTTTTATGGTATTCACTTTTTTTCACTCGTTACATTTTTTTTAAATCTAGAAATAATATACCCAGGGACAATTTGGGTAAAAATGTCACCCTTAAAAAATGGTGGTAAATCACTATATTGCCCCAGGTTCTTAAATTCAAATGTGGGAAGAACGTAAGTAAGACACGTTTTAAAAAGACCTCTTAAAGTTTTGAAACAATCTCAAATATATAGTTTAGATAATTATAATTTATGAGAGTTTTGCTATCTTAAGACTTTTGCGTATCTAAATGATTAATTATAAATATGCGTAGATTAATAATAACAGTAGACTCTGAGCACTTATAATGTTATGCCTTAATATTTTTAACGCAGTGCTGCTAAACGTTTCTTTGTTGCATTAGAACTCATTTATCATACTGTAAATTCAATAAATGCGCGAATACAATTTAACATCAACAATACAAAATATTTTCAGAACATAGAAAATAAGAGTAGTATTATTTCCTTACCAACATATTTCCAGGTTTTGATGAATGAATTACAACTGTATTTATAGTATTCGCATCAAAATTACAGTATTTTGTAATGTAAAATATATGAGGGCATGGTTGTGGAACCTATGGTGCATAAAATGTATTTACAGATCATAAGATATAAATAATAATCATACATTAGTATAATATAAAATTCAATAAATGAAAGAAAATGTGGGATTAATAAAATTGATTCAACTCAAATTCGATAAGCTAAACTGAATTAGAATTGAGGCATCGCCCCAAAAAATAAAACCTGGATCGACCTCTGCCAATTCAATAATTGTTAATAAAATTTTAAACATTTTTAGGCTTAGTCATAGATTTATTTTTAAAGGAAGATCATTTATTATTCTTTTATGCTCTCTATTTCTTCATAAATACATTATAATAAACCATTTAGTTCACTCAATATCAATCTGCATAGACCGTTTTTTGGCGTTGCTAAAAGTATTTTAATAATTCTCATAGTGATAAAATCCTTAAATAGGCGTGGCTAGTGCCATGATTTAATTTCAGTGGGAGCTTTTGTATTATAGACTACTGTGCTATAAATCCATGTCATTGTTTTGCATTTTGTGTTGTTATTGTTGTTGTTTTTAATGCCACTGGTCAGTATCAGCAAGCCTGCTTGGTGAAACTAAAGGAATTTAAAGCAGAGGGTGCGTTTCTTTTTTTTAGTGGCGCCATCTATGACCAAAAATATGACTTCAGTCACACACTCGTCACAGCCCGTTTATGAGGTGGGCTCATTCATTCATCCGCAGATCGTAATCTTGACTTGAACAGGAGAACGATCAATCTCCAATTCAGTACCCCTAGATGCATGATATGTTTTGGGAACAAGGGGAGCTTTGTGCCCAGACAGATTTAACGTACACCTGTCACCATTTACTACACCGGAAGAAGCCTTCGGCCGGCGGGGATCTAACTCACACCCTCTTGGACATGAGCGCAACCCTCTACCAAGCAGGTTTTGTGTCTTGCACGGTATTTCCTACTTTATTAAGAGTTCCTAGTCTAAATCTTTAAAATCAGAAAAGTAACAATATTTTTTAAATATAGCAGTAAAAATAATTATAGATAGCAAAAGTATTGCAACAAATTATTTACGTAAATAGGTTTATTGTTGATTAAGATCCAAATGTAGGCATCATCCCAAACATCAACATCTAAAGTTTCCCAGAATTTGATCTGAACTTCCAACTCATACGAACCATCCATTCGTTGACTGAAAATAAAATATATCCATCAAAATAAAATAAACAAGAGTAGAAATCAACCTTCTTAAAAATTTGTTGTTACAAGACATGGAAGAATTAGTCTTCAGTGAATATGAAAAATTCACAAACCAAATAAAGGCTACCTACTAAACTCACGCACTTTGTAGACCAATAAATTCAAGCTTTTTTTTATTTCAAAGAAAAGCGAAAGAAAATCTGTTCCTCAGGTACGTGAATTCATTTCAGAGTTCGCAAATAGAATAGGACTATCACTTCATATTAAATGTTTAAAATAAATCTTTTTACATATGTTCGTTTATTTACTCTTTAAGAGAAATTGTTACAGAATTTTTCCGTTTCATGATGTTTTAACTATTTTTTCCTAATTCTTAAGACTGTTCTGAAATTCGGCATTAGACTACTTTCAAAATTACCTATAGAAATCATACAAAAAAAAATTAAATTGGAAAGAAACTAAAAAATAACCTTAATTGAAGAAAAAAAAACGAAAAAAGAAATTTGAACATTAAATTTCAAATACAAAGGAAAAACCTCGCGTAACTTAATAGAAACAAATCTTATAAACACGTTGTATTTTGCAACAGAGGGAAAAAAAAGGGGAAAGTTGCTTGAATTTTGCAGAAAATTTAGAATGGAGCAATTGGGTTGTTTATTCATGCAGTGCAGAAATATAATTACTGTTCCTTCTAGCAAATCTGTGTCTTCCAGCAAATTTTAAATCATTCAACCACATGGTAGTAACAACTGATACATGAAAGCAATACTTGATATTTCTAAATATCAGTTACTAATTCTTTCCTTGATATTTCTAAAAAATAATATTTAAATAAATTTTGTCTTAGAATACAAACAAAATAAAAATAATGTAAAATTTACATTACATTTTTAAACGATTGTATATAGAAAGATCCTATTTACCTTTTTTTAATTTTTTTAATTGAAGATTGTGGTATGGAAAGCTCCATGCAAAGAGGGCCCTTTTCAACATCTGTAAATATTTTTTAAAAAAATGCAACAAAATATTTAAAAACAAAACAAGAAATAAATAACGAAAAAAAAACTAAATTACTCATAATTTTTTTTTTAATTGAGAGCCTTTTTTAAGTTATTTTTTCTGAACAAAATACAGCTTAGTTCAAAAACAATATATAGTTTTTAAAAGCAATAATGGATTATAACAATTATAAATTTTTACGATTCATGGATCAATTCAAATCAGAGAGAAGTTAAAAAAACATTCAAATGTCTAGATAAGAGAGGTTTTGTTTTTTTCTCTCCTGTTAAATTGTTAAAAATAAATTAAGCTCTCAGATAAATGTAAAAAAAAATTATGACTATTTTCAAACAGGCCTAAGACAATAAGAAGGGTTAGAAAGGGGACCTATTTCAAAGAGCCCGTGATTTCAGAAGGGTCAGACATAACTAATAAAACAAAGTCTCTATGATAAATTTAGAAATATTGAAAATATAAATTTTTAAGATACTAATTTTGAATTACTTTAAAAAAATAAATTTTTTTAAAGAAGACCAAATTTACCAATATACAAATTAAAGAAATCTTACACGGCGAAAATTTTTTTGGCAGAAATGCCGTATTGTACAGTAATGACAATTCAGGTTAAAAAAAAAACATTATTGTTATTTTCAAATTTATTGTTATTTCACAATATCATTATAAAGAGCAGCGATGGCTCAGGGGATAGAGCGTTCGCCTTCCAATGACGCGAACCGGGTTCGAATCCCAGTCGATACGAATTCCGTATCCGGCTTGCACCGACCACAGTGCTGACGTGAAATATCCTCAGTGGAAGACGGATCATGGGTTATAGTCCCCTTGCCGTCAGGCTAACCGTGGGAGGTTCTCGTGGTCTTAATCTCCATGTAACGCAAATGCGGATTAGCTCCATCCGAAAGTTCACCACGAAGGCAAAATTTCTCCCAATACTCGATCCAGGAGCTCCCTCGTCTTCTGGATGGGGTTCAAAATTACAAGGCTACGGAGTTGAACATTAGTAGTCGTAAACCCATTAAATTGGGTCGGCTGTTCAACGACGGTTATTAAATAAAATAAAATATCATTACCAAAGCGCTTCGGTAAAAATTACTGAGCGTTTCGGTGTATATATAGAGCCAGATACACGGTAAATTTTAGCATGTTTTGATTGTACTTTTTTCTTCAACGTATAGTTTACTTTTTAGAAGAATGCGGGCTTTTAGTTTTCCTCTCTTACTTCTTTATTTTTGATTATTGACAACTAATTTACACCAAGGTGATAGTGATAAACCATACATTACTCTTGCGCTGCAAAAAAAAGTAGTTGCCACCATTTTTTTGTGTTGATATAAACTGATAGTTTTAACAGTGCATGTAGTCTCATTTTTTTTATTTACAGTTTTAGTTTTTTTTCCCCTTATTCATTCCTTTTTTGTGTGTTTGCTTATGGACAACTTATATTTTCATCAAAATTTAGAGCTTCACAACAAAAACATTTTGTTCAAGAAACAAGCAAGTTTCTTAGAAATATATTTGCCCTAATTCTTTCAAAGAATTGTTATTTTGTCGATTTTATATAATTTTTGGCATGATAACTACGGTTCGGTACATAATATGTGTTTGTAATAGTTTTATATTTGAGAATGTATTTATAGCAGTTTTATATTTTAGTCACAAATACGTTTTTAAGCATCGAGGAGTAGTTGCCGTGAGAAAAATTTTTTCTAAAATTTACAAAACAACAGTTGTTGGAAAAAATTCGTGCGAATTTATGACTAAAATTGTGCTTGATTTTTAAACGAAATGTTTTTGCAGTGGATTTATTATATTGATACTAATGAACGTGAAAATATGTGTTGTGAATAAACAAATACACAAAAAACGAATAAATAAACTATAACAGTAAAAAAAGTAAGTAAAAAATGTGACAATGCACTGTAAAAAAACTTTAGTTTATTTAAAGACCAAAAATGGTGGCAACTATTTTTATAATGTGGCTCGTCTTTGTTCTTGATGTTTCACTTCACAAAGTTAATCCACTCACAAAGTAGTTCCAATGATAGTTCCTGTGGTAGTTGTTGTTGACGTATGCCTGTTTAGGCAGAGGGGTGAAATTGTTCTTGTTTTCCAGTGGCGCCATCTAGGGCCAAGAATTCGACTTCTGCCACACCATACGTTGCACCCGTTTATAGGGCGGACCCATTTATACATACATCCATTCATTCATCAACAGATCGCAATTTTGACCTGATTCAAAGAACGATCGATCCCCCAGAGGTATTGATCTGTTATGGGAACATGGAGGACTTCTGCGACTCGACAGATTTAACGTAGATCAGTCACTTTACTACACAGCGCGTCTTCGGCCTGCGGGGTTCGAACTATCGGACATGGGCCCAGCGCCCTACCGACCAGGCTATCCCGGCCTTCCTGTGGTAGTGAAACACCAAATATGATGCTTTTCATTACATGATGTAAAGTAGCTACCACCACTTTTGATTTTCAACATCACAAAAATTTATAATTAGAATAAGATATGATACATACCAGTTTCAGTATAGTTATTTTTACAAAAAGTAAGAAACATTAATTTAGGATGCATATAAACACTATTTCTTAAAATGAAATTAGTTTATTAATAAAACATACATGCAGAACAGAGTGAATGTTAAGATAAATTTGGACTAAGCTTAACAAAACAGAAGAGAATAGAAATTAAATATTATAAGATTATTTATGCAAGTGACAGATTTAAGTAAACTTAAGGAGAGCATAATTATCTTTATTAAACTACTAACATACATGCTTTATAAAACTCAGTTAACTTTTGTTTGTATGGAATGTTTAGAAGCTTGCAAGACGTATTGAACTTGCACCTCCTTGAGCTCGATTGTAAACAATCTACTGTTGTCAACTGTCGGTTTCCAAGCAAACGCAAAAATTGGCCGAAATAATTTGTGAATGGAGTAAATGCACCTGAGTGCTGTTTAAACTTTCTCAATTATTGGTATTTAGATTTCACTACACCCTATTTGAATGATGAGATCTTTCTGAACACTAGATATGTTAATATGTTACTTAATTTAGATTAATTAAGAATATTTTAATTAGAAAAATTAATCTTTTTTTTGTTAAAAATTCAGAATATGATAAATTAATTGCATTTTTTAAAAACATAAATCTGAAAGCATGTTTGGTAAAAATACCTGTTAACCAAAACATTCTATTTTCATTTTTGAAGAACTATCCCGTGCTTTCCATTCTAATTTTTGATTACATATTTTAAAATAAAAAAAGAAAGAACTAATTAAATTTTCATAACTAATATCGTCAACAAAATTAATTAGCATGAAATATCATGCACACAAATTAATTAGTATGATTAAGGTTAAACCCTTGAACACAGTTACGATTATTGTACCTTCGTACGTGATAATCAGATCAGTAGATCAAAAATTATTAAGGTCTATCATTTAGCTTACAGTATAGTATATTAATTTAGATATGGAATAAATCAAATTATAATCTGGAATAAATATAATATCAATTATAATCTGGAAATGGAATAAATCAATTTCGTTTTTATGAATTAGATAACTGTAACAAATGCAATTTATTTTAGAGATTCAAGTTTTTTTTCCAATACAGGCAAAAATAAAAATATTTATCATCATAAAAATTATTTCTATACACTTACTAAAGGAATGAGGAGCAATAAGTGATTCGATGCTAGTAAAAAACAAATATTTTCCTAGATCCACTGATTTATTACCAAGATTGCGCAACGGTATCGTATTTTGTCTAAAAGAAAAAATATACATAAAAAGAAGGAAAAAGAAAACAAAATTCTGGGAAAAATAGAATTAATATAATAACTTAAAACTATATAATTGGTTTGCAATATTCCTCCCTTATAAGTCTTTCTAATTTTATTGAAAGATTTGTAACTCATTTTCAATTCTAAGAACATTTATTTTCAATTTAAGAAATAGTTTTCTAAATTTTAATACATAAAAGTGATTTCATTAAGAATTTTCATCAGTTTCCTTAGATAGAATAATTTAAAATTTTGTAGCATTGATTATAGTTACTTAATTCAAAAATATTAGTTTTTATCTTAGGCTGAACATGTTTGGTAAGAGTGCACAGCACTTTTCAGAAAAAGGTTGCCGAAAGAAAAAAAAATCTTTCAAGGACCGCAGAAAATAAATTGACTTTATAGTCGGTAATAAATTCAATTTTTGTCTAAATTAAAAACTAAATTATTCCTTAGGGTGACATAAATATTATTGATTGATACTTGTCTAAAAAATTAAAAGACAAAGTACAAGTACAATATTTCTTAATTAAAAAATACATTAGGAGTTTTACACGAAATTAAATTGTAGCACTCTTGTTACATTCTCCGTGGAAAATTTAATTTTATTAATATTTTTGTGGCATATTAATAGTTTACATCTTTAATTTTTAAACTGAGTCTTTAGTTTTTTAAGCATTTGTTTGGAACAGGGTTTTTTTCTTGATCAAAGGATAAAAAAAATTTAAAAAATGAAAATTACAAAAGCTACCCATCGACACATCTGCATTTGCAATTTTAAAATAATAACCTTGATAAGTTTTCAAAGTTTATTAAGACTAGTTTAAAAAAGTTATTAATTTTTCATACTAGTTAGGAAGTTATTAGAAGGAGAGTGCCGCACGGTTGTGCACTTCTAGAATTTGAGAATTTTGCATCTTCTATGCAAAACTTTTTAGAATTAGTCACAACATTTTTAACAAATATTTAGTCTATCTTAAAAAAATTTCTCAAAAATAAGGTTTGATAATCTTTTTATTAAAAAAATAAGACATATAAAATAAGAAACACAGTCAAAAATTTCACATTTTGCGAAGACAAGTTACAAATTGAAAAAGAAGAGAGAACAATAATTCAAATACAAATAAAATAAATGTCTGTAAGTACAAATTAAAATTAAAATTTTGTACCAAGTACGCATTATTGGTAGAAAGTCATTTACTTCCAACTGTAAAAAGAAGGTAAATTTTAAATTTGATAAGTCATTTTTATTGAAGAATAAAATAAAATAATAAAATAAAACAAATGAAAATCTCCCTTAATTTTTTTTTAGTAGAAATCATGTCCTTTTAATATTTTTAAAAGGTTATCTTTAGCTAAAATTTTATATAAATAATTTTGCGATTGAAATAATTTTCCGTAATCAATTTTTCTCAAACATCTTACAGAAAATATAAATACAATTAGGATACCCCTGTGGCAGAATTTTTTCGAGCTTTTTTGCGACAGTTCTTTCTAGTTCTAATACCTTTCTGAGAGACATATTTAATAATAGCAAATATATATATTACTAATTTAAAGTAACAGAAGCGCTTTCTGTTTACAAAAAAAAAAGCCTTCATGTATAAAACAGAACAGTATATATTTTTTTAATTATAAATGCAAAATTTTTTTTTAAATCTAAAAATAAAAGAATACATATTCTAATATTATTGGTGATATTTTTCTTCTCTAAAAATATTTGTATAGTTAACTTTTTTTTAAATTTTTTCTATTTGGAAATTACTTTTCATAATATCACTCTGAAATTCTAGCTAAAGCCAATCATTGTGGAAGTTTTTATTCTCAAAAGAAAGTAGGGGGAAAAAAATTACGAGCATTTTTTTTCCATCCGTTTTTTTTCCATATGCGAGAAAGGCATTTTTTGAATATAATTTGGCAGAAAGGGGGGAAAAAAGTTCTGCAGAAAAAAAAATGTTTCGAAAAATTCTGCAGATAAAAAAACTCAACTTCTTTGCTTCCCAAACAAAAAAGATTTCTGTAGGAACTCAGTAACGTTCTGCGACAAAGTCGCCGTGTGGCCAAGATTCTGCCACGAGATAGGATACAAGAATAGAAAGATAACAGTATTGAAAGCCAAAATATGTACTAATTAACGGACAGGTACTAGTTATTACAGAGAAAATTAACATAGATTACTGATGATAATTGTAGGAAGAAATGAATAAATTTAATTTTACAAGTGAGAAAGAAGGAACTTTAAATTTACATACTTTAGTAATTCGTCAATTTTTCTGCTAAGTTCTTCAAAATTTTTTACTTCACAGTAGTCGTAATTATTCACAAGTAATAAAGCTTTCTTAAGTAATTCTTTTTTAGAACCAGAACTATCCATGTTGGCGAAATCTAACAGATCTTTTAGCTCCAGAATGCGAAATTTTTTAACTTTATTCTGAAAGAAGAAAATATTTAATTAGAATATAATATTTTTTAATTTTGCTAACTATTTTAAATAATAATTAGTACCTCGAGCTTTGTCACTTCACAACGATGAAGTAAAGATTCTGAAGACATGTTAGTAAACGTGTTCAAATCAACACGGATTCAAAATAAACGAAATGGTTTTTGTTTTGATTATCAGAAATTAAGGCGGCAGTTTTATGTAATACTCAGATTGAGCCTTCTTAGAACAACAATTGCGAAATAAATGAAACAGTTGCCAAAACAAGAAAAAAGAATTTTGTTCGACAAGAAAGTATTTTTATTTTTAGATGAGTATATTTTAATTTGAAATATTATAAACAATAAATTTTTAATGTATAACAACAATAAATTTATATTATTAAATTATTGTAACTCACATAATATATTCTATTAAAAACAAGAGTAGATTAATAAGTAATGGTATCGAATCATTTCTGAAACTAAGGTGACGGAAAACCCCCTTTAAACATGGAAGAAAGACTTGTTTTCAATAAATAATAACATAATTAATGATAAAAATTTTTATTCATTTTTTATTGAAATATATCACTTATTTTTGTTTTTAGAAATAGCATAATGATTTAAATTAAAATGCTAATTCGCAAAAAAATTATTACTTTTCCATTTGTTGATTTTTATTTCTTTTAATATTATTATAAAAATTGATTGCGTATTTTTTCATAAGTAGAGTTCGGTTTCATCAGATGACGGCTAGTAATGGAAAACCGTTTCTTTTAGTATTTGTTGCAAGTGTACTTCGAATGAAGAATGCTATGCCGCCATATTAACTTAAACAACAGTGTTTTTTATAACACTGCCATTTCAATAGCAGCGGAGACTAAGAAATTACGGTGCATTTTATTTTTAACTATTGTTTTTGAGTGAACGAAGGAAACTTTCATTGTAGTTGCTATAACTTTTATGAAAATGAGCAGAAGTTTCTTTAAGAATTAAAAACATTTTATTATCCTTTAACCCCTTCTCTATCGGCTTCGCATCTCCTACGATCGGCGTTTTTGTGCCTGTATGGTCGACGTCGCATTCCATGCGATGAAAAGAAAAATTGCATCATTGAAATTGAATTCATCGCTACTTAATCTTAATACACGTCTCTTTCATCCCGGCGATTATTTTTATCCAAATATTGCTAAGAGATGGGGCAACTAGTCCCACATTTTTCGCAGTCAGATTTCTTGCCTTGAATTGAAATCAAAATCATTTTGTACTGTCTTTAATTTCGCTTTCATTAGTGTTACCGTTGTATTTCAAAATAGTTATGATGTATTTTTAATTATTATTTATAATTATTATTTTAAGCATATATTTACAATTAATTTTATTAATTATAATAATCATTGATTAACAATTATTGTATGTAGATATTTATTTTGACCACCTCAAAACAATTGAATTAATAAATATGTTATAACAGTGTATTTTTTCACGATAAAACTTAAATGAATTGCAGGGAAAACTGCAGATCAATGGACGGGAGATCACATATTTCACCACCAATGGGTCAAGTAGACTACTGCTTATTGAGAAATATTTTGAATATAGGATAGAACATATGTTAATTTTCAGCAATAAAAAGAAAATGCTTTTTTGGGATAGGATATTCAAAAAAAAAAAAAAAAAAATTCGAAAGAGAAGCCGTAAAGTTATAAATCATATGTCTCCTTAAGCTCAATTATATATATGCTGCAACTAGTGGTTTGTTCCATGATGTTCATGTTGTATCTGTCATAGTTCTTTTTATTTTACAACCAGCGTTGAATAGCTGACCCGGAGTTTACAACTATCAATGTTCAACTTCGTAGTCTTGTAATTTCAAACCCAACCCAGAAGAATACGTCAGCACTGTGGTCGGTGCCAGCTAGGAGCAGAATTCGTATCAACCAGCCGCCGCTGGGATTCGAACCTGGATCACCTCATTGGGAAGCGAGTGCTCTATAGTCTGAGTCACCATGGCTCCTTATTTTCATGTTAAATATTTCTGACTTTTGCAATATCTGTATATAGTTATTAGTTAATTTATTTTTGGGAATGAATCTAAAAGTATGTAGTACAGTATGAGCTCTATCCCCACGGGTTTTCGAACGCAGTATAGAATATGGGCAGTGTCGATGTTCGCTAACAATTATTTCACCGGCAGAACATATATCCGACGCTTGTTCATAGAGACCAAAGCACATAGCTAAACGTTTATTTGTTTCTGGCACGATCATTTCACCGACAGCTTATTTCGTTGACATCTTAATTTTAATTCATATTTCCGGAATAAACATCTTTATGAATTGTACAAATTTTTTAATCTGAAACACTTCTTGAAAAAAAAATTATTTAATGTGCATTATTTTAAGGTAATCAAAGTTACATCATTAAATAAATTAATTAATCAATAATCTGAGTGTTGCTGCGACCTGGAGGTGTCTAAAGTTGTTATAAAGAGCATGTCGTCTTTAATTTTTGATTTATAAAATATCTTTTTTCCGATATTAATTCAGAAGTGTTTAATTAAAATTTCATTTTGAAACATTTCAAATTTTTTTTATTCTTATTAGAAAAGAACTGTTCTGACAAATAATATAGTTTGAAGCGTTACGTTTGAAGCACTTTATCCGTGTTTTGACTACGACCCTATATATATATATATATATATATATATATAACTTC